CCCCAAAACCCCAAAACCCCAAAACCCCTCATTTAATATTTATGTTAAATTTAGGGCTTGTTATTGATAATTATTAAATTAATTATAGCTACTAATTCACAATAAAATGTTGTCCAAGCTCTTTAATTAAAATAGATCCTAGATCAGTAAATTGATATCTTTGCTTCCTTATTAGAACAGGAGTTTTGCTGGAAAAAGAGGCAAATTCGAATACAATCCTGATTCAATAGATAAAAACCCCTTCAATATCAAATTAAATAAAGATAAAGAAGGAAAGAAAACGCCTTCTACATTAGAAAAGATCAAATCTTACTTTTCATAAAAGTCTAAAAGTTTTGGAGAAAAGAAAGAAGAATCAAAGGAACCAACAGCTAATGAAATATTCTAGTAGTAAAAGGCTAAAGATAATAAAGACCAGCCTATATAAAAAGACAGCAAGGAATAGCAAGACACAGTTAACAAGATCATCGAGATGATTTCAAAGAACATCAATAGAAAATATTTTAGCGAAAAAAAGCTTCCAAGATTTTTAGAACTTTGCTTTTCTGTGAAGGATTTGAATCTCTTAACTGAGAATGAGAAATTTGATGAGTTCATCTATCAAGATCTTAAGTTTCTGATCTAGTCAGTTAAGGATGTCCAAAATATAAATCATTTTGTGAAATTCGCAGTGTATTTCAAGCTAGAATCTGATCCAGAGTTACTTGAAATACTTGCAGACTAAGTCAGGAGAAGTATTGGCAGATTTAAGACTGATGAGATTCTTGAAATTTTAGTAAATTTCTCGCATACATTGAGTCCAGAGTGTAAATCCCTATTTGAAATAGCTAATGAGGATTTTGTATTCAGACTTACTACAAATTATGATCCTATGGAGGGTGATTTACTTATCTAATTAGACGATATTCCAAAGATACTCAATACATTTTTAGATCTCTAGCAATTAAGTGCCAGTTTGAAAGAGAAACTACAAGATTATTATGTAGAGAACGTTAATAGCTTTAGTTATAAGACTTTAAGTGAAATAGCAGTGATCTATGCTTCTAAGATGGATCAAACATACAAAGAATTGTTTTTTGGAAAATTCAAAGATAAGTTCCTCAAAGATTTAAAACACTTAGATCAAGAAATATTTTATAAAGTACTTTGGTCTTTGATCAAAGCTGATACAATTGAAGTTGATGATAGAGGTTTCGAATGGTCTCTAATTAAAGAAACAATAATTAAGAGAGCAAAGGATTTTGACCCTGCTACAGTCACTAATATTCTCGTATTGTCTACTACTGGAAAAACTAATAGTGAAAAGATAGTAACAATAACTGGAGATTTATTTGATGCCTTACAGTCTGAATTGATAATTAAAATGCAAAGTATGAATCTATCAGATTTAATCAATCTCATGTGGAGTATATCTGAGATTAAAAAGGGGTCATAACTCTTTTACTCTGAACTTGAAAAGTAGATAACACTCAGATTGAGATCCATTAATGATGATGATCTGCTCTTACTTTTAGATTGTTTTTCTGACATGCAAAACAGTTTTTCTTAAAAATTTCTGGACATTATCATTAATGTGATTTAAGAAAAGAAAGATAGATTCTAATTAAAAACTTTAGTCAATATAATATTTGCCTTTTCCAAGATAGATTTTGATTACACATCTATTCAATAGATTCTTTTAGATTTCAGAGATTATGAGAGACTCATAGTTAGTCTTCCAAATATGCTGTAAAAGTCTCAATGCATTCTACTCTGGACATATTCTAGAAATGAATAGATTATAGATGCGAATTTCTTGTAAAAGATTTGCCAAGCTATTCTTCATTATGAATCAGGAGTATTTGAGCTAGATAACTTTGACTTGCTCTTACTTTCTTAATCTATAATGCATATATAAAGAAGTGAACTATCAAAAGATGCAGATTACATGCAATAATTCTATGATTTAGCTAAAACAGCAGAGACCTTTGCCATTAAGAATATTGAACGCATGAATATTCATGAGTTTGCTACCATAATGCTTTTCTATTTGCAGAATGATCAATGCATAACTAAGCAATTGATTGAGAAAATGATTCCTAAAATTGAAGATTGCGTTAGTGAGTTTAATGAGCTATAACTAAGTATGATCTAAAAGGCTATAATTAAATTTGCTATTAAAAATCAGGAAAAATATGAAAGAACATTATTTTAGCAGTGTCTAGAAAAATTACAAGAAGAACTTGATGGAATCTAGCTTGAGAAGGAGTTTATAGAAAGCGAAGAAAGAATACTAGAAACTATAAGAGAGAGAATTAAGCAAAGAATAGAAAATGAGCCTAAACCATTTAAACCTCATTATACTCCATCAGACTCCAAATTAGAGTAGCAAGTACCTGAGTCAAAGCCCGAATCAATAAAAATTATTGATAATTCTGAAAATATTAAAAAAGACATAAATAAGCCATAAAATTTCGCAGATGTTCCTGATCCGAGTAAAATATCTGAAGCTGAAGCAAATAAATTTAATGAACAATAATCTCAAGATAGATAATCAAAGACAAGTGAGAAGGATGATAGGGAGCCGATTGAAAATGAGAAAGATAGAAAGAAGCTTCTAAAGTATCTCCTCAATAGAAAAAAGTGATGTTAAATTATAAATTAAGAATTAATTGCTTTAGTCATTAAATTAAGACTGATTTTTATAAATTATACAGTAATTAAGACCTATTTCTGTAAGAAGTGATGCAAACAAAGGTTTATACAAAATAATTCACAAATTTTATTGTTACTAGAAACTACTCGAATAACTGAATCCTTTTTCGGCGTCTCTCTTAATTGTATCAAAGATGCTTTTGATGTTTCTTTCTCGCTAGAGCTATACTCTTTGTTACTCTTCAAGTAGTTTTTGCTAAATAATTAGTTAAGCTATATCATAAAGGCTGGATTGCCTAGATACATGAGAAGCCTTAAAATTAGGGTTTGCTTAACTCGTAGCACAGGACTGGAGAGTCATAGTTGAGGCTGTATTAGGATCGTTTCTCATTCAATTATTAAACAGAGTGCTCTCCTTAAACATATTCAAAGATATGATTTGCCCTTCTGAAATTTCATGGCACTATATAGTGCTAAACTGATGATGATTTCTTCCGTTGGGTGGATTATGATTCTATTTGACAAATGGCTTTTTAATAATTGACTCTCTTATTTTATTAGCTGTTGTCATAGAAATTCCCTATACAAAACTTGGAGCTTATATTGAAGAGTGCAGATTAGTTATTGATTTGCTAGACTCTTCATTTATAATTTGATTATCAAATATTTGAACCTCCTATATATTTTAAGGAATATTTCTCTGAAGTCTTCCTTTAGATCCGCTAATATCTCTTGTTCTAATAACATTCTTATTAGGAGTAGCAAACTAGTTATTTTCATCAATAGATGATTTAGGCAGATTGAATTTGTAGTTAGTAGCTGATTTTTTATGTGATATTAGAGGTTTTCCATTTTATCTTGGTAGTACTGGAGATCTATTCTAAATTTGCAACTTGGGACTGAATATGGGGGATTAGCTTTGGCGATGCTAAGATTATTAAACTATGCCAGTATTCTTAATCTCCTTGTGAGGTGTTATTCTTGATTGAAGCATCTCATGCTTTTTCAGTAAGTTATTAGGGGTTCCTATATTATTAATATTTTTCATCGGAGATCTCAATTAAGCTGATTGCTTTACAGGATTTCTTTCAGTCTTTGTCTAGGATGGTGATCTTTACTTGCTAATGTTATGGGTCTATCTAGGACTAGTCTGAGTCTTCATTTAAATTCTAGCTGACTAAGCTGGTGTTGTTCTAGACTAAATAGTATTTTTAGTTACTATATTTTAGATTGAAGTTGGTTTTAACTGAAGTCAAGATGGCGATAGAGCTTATCTGATAGGGGATTCTCTTTTCAGAAGTAGAGGTACCTTTTAAGCAGAGTTTGTATTTGCAATAACATTATTGGCTTTTTTCTAATTTATATCAGGAACGAATTTTCTTGAGGAGACCAATGGGCTCTTTGATCTTGATGAAGATCTTTTCTTTTGGAATAATTGCTGTTTGAGTCTATTTTCAAGCTCAACATGAAATACATTATCAACAAAATGAAGTGGCTCAATGACCCTACCAACAAAGAACTCTTGTTCATCAACTATATCTTATGTGTCCTTCTCAATAAATTAATCCAATAAATCACTAATTGATAAGCCAAATGCTATTTTTCGGAGATAATTCACTCTCTCTCTTTTGATGATATTTTATTCAAACTTGACAACGCTGTGCATAAAGCTAGGAGTGAAAAAAATTTTGTCCTGATTATTACCTCCTTTCTATCAGGATTAGATCTTGCTTGTTACCATTAATGGCAATTTATGTTATTGCTTTTGCAAATTTTAATTCTAGTTGAAGGCATCAATAAGTTTTTATTCATTTTAAGCTTTTTACCTCTTAGCTACAAATGAAAATTTCTCATCTATTATCCTTTGCTTCCTTCTAATATTTTTGTACATATATTTAGCCATGCCCTCTTTTTCCTTCAATATCATACTCATCTCATCTTGACAAGGTTGAAGTAATAAAGCATAGGAGGGGAAAATATCAGCGTAATCTTGATAGAAATCTGTCAATTTGCTCAACTTGTCCATCCCCTCATATGTTTTATAGTATCTTCTTAGACATTCACATGAGCAATCATCGTAGATAAGATAGTCCTTAAATATGGCGACTAGTCGACTATTTGGTTAGTCCTTAACAATCTTATCTATATTCTTGGAGTAGTAAAAATCAAAGCGGCCATGCTTTTCAGAGAGATTATTTTAGATTAAAATTTTGTAATCCATCGATACTCACTCACAAATGTAAAAAGGCAGAATAATTTTTATTTTAATTCTTATTTCAAACAGCTACTTAGACTGATGGGGTTTTGGGGTTTTGGGGTTTTGGGG